ATACGAATGCGCTTGCTCCAGCTGGTGGTACAATATTCGGAGGCAGTATCGCCTCTCTGATCCTCTAGTTTTTAATGTAATTTGAAAACAATTAACAGCCTAAAGCCTGTAACAAGGGTGTTTTTGTGTTTCTATATATTATTATTAGTTACTTATGATATATTCATTGAATTACATATACAGCTGTGAAGTACCTCCATGAGGCAGGTGTACTGTTACATTACCCTGATCAGCTGAGGCAGCTCAATTCTCTGTACTTCATTGACCCACGCTGGCTGTGTGACATGCTGGCCAATGTCATCACAATCAAGGTAATGGAAGAGCTCTGCTTTCTCCTTATCTTAAGCCTACCCGCCCCCAAATATGTAAATGGGTTTATGTGAGTTTGTGTATGTACTTATGACAATATTTATATATTTGCATAAAACTATGGTTCGCATTTCCATTGATTTTTGGTATTTGATTTAATTTATATTGATCTATTATTTGAATTGATAAATATTTCATTTTTATTTTTTAATTATGCATGCTTCTATGTTGACAAATTATATACAAAACACTTAATCTCTTTACAACTTCAAGCATGGAATGTTTTTATACACTCTAAGCACACTTCTTTGCTCTGTTAATTTGCCCAGCATCATTTCCAGCTATTAAAAATACAACTATGACAATGAAAATTCTTCAGGCTGTGAATCCAAAAGTAAAAGATGGGATTTTGAAAATACAGGACTTGAAAGCAGTCCTGAAGCATGACCCACGCTTTCCTATGGAGCTGTTGGACCAGTATATACAGTTGATGGAGAGGTTTGATATTGCTATCAAACTGGACTCAGACAAGTAGGTATAGTGTAACTCCTAAGTTTGTCAGTATATATGGATATGGTCTTTGTTTTTAAAGCAACATAGTGTTAGTGGGTACGCATTTGTACTTTCTGATATTACAGTTGTCATGATGCCTTAGACTTTGCATCACATCCATAGCAACAAAACAATGCAGATGATGAACTTTTCTACTAGTGAGTTTCAGCAGGTGATGAAATTGTTAGTAGAACACATACATGCTTTTTTATTATTATGACAAGAAATCCAAGAAAGCCTATGAGTAGAATTTGTGAGTGTGTTGTTTTCATAACTTAATAGACAGATTGGCCAAATTTTCTAAGATCAAATACAGATTGTCACTGTGGTGTTCAGTAAGTAGTTCATTGTACATGTATCAGACTGAATGAAGGACAATGCATATCTCTGGAAATGCTTCAAACAGTTAAAGTTCAAAGATAAATTCATACCGCCAATACCATGGGACTATAATGTTCAAATATTCTGAATATGTAGAATATATAAACTCAAGTCTAAAGATATGCCAGTTTGGTGTTCTTGTTCATACAGTATTTAACTAGCATTGTGCAATTTCACAATGATTAAGAATTTCTCTCTTTTAAGTTTACTGCTGCCATCCAAGCTGCCTATACTACGTCCTGGTGTCACTCTGGAGCAGTCCAACTGCCTGCATAGGTTCTATAAGATGTCCTTTATTCCCAGCGGGTTCTGGAGCCGTCTTGTCACCAGATTGATCATCAGCGTCAGAAGGCTACTGTCCTCACTGGAAAGAACCAAAAGACCATTGTCCACTAGAGGACAGTCAGAGATCTCAAAGCCTAAAAGAAAATTGGCAAGAACTGTATGGAATGCTACCATGTAAGTGTTTGGTTATCTTTAGCTCATATTATGATTCTTATTGATGGTTTTCTGTGGTCACCTGTATTTATGATTTAAATTATTAAGTTCCACAGTAGTTAAATAATTTTAAAAATTTGCATACCAGTGTTTATAATTTTTTTTCTTTTTTGCAATTGTCCGTACTCTTATGAACTTATTTTTGGTCTGGTTATGTGTTTTGAATACAAAATATAAATAGATGTCTTGCTTTTTTCCTAGGCGTCGTAGAGATCGTGGAGGGCTCATTATAAAGCGCCAGCAAATATTCTACTGGCGGCAGGGTTTCATTGTGACTTTCAGAGGAGGCTATATGTCTGTTGAGTCCACAGTAGAAGAGGCATTCCTGGGTGGCCATGCTTATGACTGTTCTGGGGTCTTGATCACTGTGCACAGTACCAGTGATGATTTTGCTTCCATGGGCTTTGTTACTGATGAAATTGAGACCCTGATAATGGAATGGTTTCCAGGTATATTTGTGTTGGGAAATACTTTGGGGGCAGAGAGTAGAAGAGAATTAGCCAGTGGCTTCTTCAGGATTTTATTTTAACTAATATATCATTTAAAAAGGTATTTACTTCTTGAACAGTTTGGCTATTAGTAATTATGATAATTAATTTTTGAACAGTTTGGCTCAGTCCCCAATAATTAAAGCAATAATAACTCTTCCTTTGAGATTCAAAATTCCGCAAGAAATACATTGTAAACAACGCCTGGAAATATATTCTATTGCATTTTCCCACTAAAACGACTGTTATTGTAGTAAAACTAAAATCTGTGCTTGTCACTTGGGCTTTCAATGCCTTTTTTCGCGGTCGACAAGTGCATCCGTTGCCAATGACGTTTAGGTGTCACGCGGATTCTCGCGTTCATTCGAGACCAAAATAACATGGCGGGAAACCCTCAGACGTAAGTTGCGAGTTTTTGTACAGTGCGTCGGATAACGAAAAGCCCAGAATTGCACACATTGTAGATATAAATGCATTTTGAGCAAAAAGATGAATATATTTTATGAATCTTATAATATTGTTATATAGTGTTGTTGTTGTCTGCTTTTCCCGCGGTTTTAAGTAGGTCACCAGAAACTAACGGTCGATACGAGAGGGCTCCGTCAGTTAAAATCTCTTAAGAGATTTTAACAAAAAACCGTACGTTTAGGGAAAAAACCCTGGATTAACTTTGAATGCAGGAATGGGGTCGTTGACCATTGGTAAGTACGGGAAAATTGCCGTTTTTTCCAGGAAAATCGTATTTTTGGCCAAAACGAAGAGTTATTATGACTTTAACATTCAGCATTACATAAGTTTTTGCAATAAAATTTTTTCTAAAACATGCATTAATTTTAAATTTTGAAACCAGGGTTACTGCAGGCAGACATCCAAAGACTAATCCCTTGCCCAAAATGCTGGGATGGTGGGAAACAAGATGTTCGACGCACCTCAACACTTGGCAACAATTTCAGTCTAGAGTATTGTGCAATGAAAGCTTATGAAGGGAAAACACATTTAGTATGCCCTGTCCACCCAAAAAAGGTCAAAGTTCACAACCTTATCCCTGACCTCCTCTTGACAGACCTTCCTGAAAATTTCTTACTGGATGGAGATTATCTCATTAAAGAGGATTTCCTTAGCAAAGGAGGGACTGCAATGGTTTTCAAGGGTCTTTACAAAGGAAAAGCTGTGGCCATTAAGGAATTTTTTTCTGGTCAAAATGCCTCAGAGTACACTCAGTCTAGTGGGTCGGAGGACAGTGGAAGGATGACATTTCAGAGTGGTGTCAGCACTTGGCAGTCTACTCTGGAAGCTGCTGATGATACCACCAGTACAGTCAGTGGTGTGGAAACTTTGGGCACTAGGGAGCAGGAGATTCTTGAGTGGAGACAGATGGCAAAGGGAGCAAAGGTTAAGAAAAGAGAGTTAATAAAACAAAATTTACGTACTGTATTTTCAGTGTCCTTGCATGCATTGAAATTTTCATATTTTATTAAGAAACATTTTGTGTAAGGTTTTTGGATTTTTAAATTTACTCAAAAAAAAAATTACGTGTAGTCTATAAAGATTACACTTTGTGTTTTCTCACTAGATTGTGCAAGCATTCAAAGAAGTCCGCCAGGAGGTGATGCTGCTGAGTAAGCTAAAACATCCCAATGTGTTATCTCTGATAGGGGTGTGTTTCAATCCCCTATGCTTTGTGATGGAGTATGCCCCCTATGGTAGCCTGACCAGTGTGCTACATGCAGGAGACAGAGAGAACCTGTCAGATGATGTGCAAGGACAACATGGCATGGTGTTCAACAAGATGTTCACCTATAAACTGCTATTGCAGGTACTTGTATTATATAATGCTTCGTATGACATTCACTGCTGAATAAACCTAGAGCTGTGTTCTTTTAAAAAACAAGGCAGCAAAGCTTTGAAATGGACAGACATAGATGACAAAACTGATAGCAGTGGACATTGAAACAGTCTTAAAATGACCAATGTAAAGGTGAAAGTGCAGATAGTATTTTTTCCATTTTGAGCACATTCACGCCCATTTTTTAATTACCACAGTTGCTGTGGACATTCAGAAAATGTTACTATCAAGTGGGAATTCAAACTAACTCCTCGAAAATGCAGATTTATGAAAAATGAAATATTTACTAAAAATTCAATTAGACTATTAATATTCCTTTGAATTTGAGAATTATAAGTAAAATTATGTGCATGGCATTGCTGACATTGACAGCAATTATAGATGCAAGAGATGACTGTACAATGTCCAGACACATTATCTGTCCATAAAAAGCCTATTTAATATCTGAACTATAAATCCTTTACTTTGCAAGTTAGATCTAAACATTTAAGTGATGTAGAAGACTGCAACAAACAGCAAAATTTGAAAAAAAAGTTTTTTGTATTGCCTGGGTTTAATATTTACAGTGGAATATTTCCTCATTTCTCAGTTAACCTTATTTCCAGGTTGCTGAAGCCCTGTTTTACCTTCACAGCAAAGACGTCATCTACAGAGATCTGAAGTCAGACAACATCTTGGTATGGAGCCTTAGAATGCAGGATGCCGTCAATGTCAAGGTGTCAGACTATGGGATCTCTACTTACTTAACGCCCTCTGGTGTCATAGGGAATGAGGGGACACCAGGATTCCAGGCACCTGAAGTCAGAACTGGAGTTACCTATGATGAGAAGGTAGGTTGTTTGATTGGTATGGTGTGCTGAGAAAATGTTTTATGTGGCAGTATGGTTTGCTTGGCTCTTTTCTCTCCTAGGATATAAAGTGGTAATTTAAATGTGCAGTTCAAAGTGAAAGAAGAAAGTTCACTCTACACGGTTTCTCTGGTTTGTTCAGATTGGTACAAGATCATCCGTGTCCTTAGACATAGACCGATTGTACAACAAATAGTGGCACAATTAATCAGGTAACATACATTCTTCTTTTAAAGGCAAGCTGACAGGATTTTGTCAAAATTTTACTACTGGTTCTTATTTTTCAATTTTTGTTCATTGGTACTTGGCTACTACAGACTTGTCAACCACAGTGCCATGTCTGGCTGTTAAAAGACAGAGTTGCAGGTGTCTCTTCTTGATCTTGATAGATATAGACTTATGGTAATCAAGGTAATTATATGTCTGTGTCCCTAGGCAGAATGCATTTATGCATGTGTATTCCACCCAGGGACAAGGTTGCATAATTACCTTGATTTGCCTGTTTATTTTTGCAGCCCCTGTGAATTGGTTCAATCCAATTTTCTTAATGAATTTAAGACTTCCTTAAGGCAAACTGGCTATTCTTTTCTTCATCGTGTCCAACAGTTTATCTATTGACTGCCTCATATTTGCTGCTGATGTAATTAGTGTCTCTGAAGTACTCAGAAAAATATATGAAGAGCCTTGGTCTATTTTTGCATGTCCGATTGTCCAAATGTTTGACCTAAAATCCCTTCAGTGACTTGAAATTAATATTAAATAAGATCCTGGTATATTCATGAACAATGATGGCAATAAATCTTTCAATTAGACAACATGGACACTTCCAGTAAAATAGGCCATTTCATCAAAGGTGCCTTGAGAGGACTGCTGCAGTGAGCACACCTGACAGTGACAATTCCATTTTATAGCAGGATAAACTACCGTTTTGCACATTTTAGAACTGTTTAGACTGATCAGGCAAAAAGGTTTTTAGATGAAATGTATGTTATGCAAGACTTGTTTATATTGCTAATTTTAATTTTGTGCATGAATTTTGCCTGTGGTGGGCCACTCTTCATTTTAAATAAAACTCTGTGAATTCATGTGAAAGAACATAAAAACAAAGAACAGTACATGTATTCCAACAAATGAGATAAACAAGTATTCATTTGTGGGGTTTCAATTCATTTAAGTTTTATTTTAAAATTCTTTTCAGGTTGACCTGTTTTCATTTGCCATGCTGATCTATGAAACATTGACAGGACTGCGACCATTTGGCCAAAGGAAATCTCTTTCTTCCATTACTTATGCTGTGCGCAAAGGAGAGAAACCAGATTTGAAGGTGAATTTTTTTGTTGATACTCCTTTTCCTCTTTGCAAGTTGAAATTATCTACTTCTGTAGAACATATACAAAATAATAAAACCACTGGTACTACATGCACTTAGTGTTATATGCAAAAATTTTTTCACACCAAAGTAGTAGGAATTTCTAATTTAATTTCATTTTAATTTGGCTGCCAGTACCTGATGTTATGACCTAAAACTTCTATGAATTAAGTAGCTGAATATAGAATGTTATAAGTTTCAGTTTTTATTATGCAAATATTGAATTTTTATACGAGTGCTTTTTATTTCTGTGAATCCAGGACCAGTGACAAAGACATTTGACTTAATTATGTTTCTGACATCATTGCCTTTGTGTGTGTGGAATTCATTTATCTTAATGCAGGGAATTGACATGAAAATGCAAATGTTGCAAGACTTAATGGTGCAGTGCTGGAATAATGAGCCCCAATGCCGCCCTACAGCAGAACATGTTGTTGATGTCATGAAAGATGTCAAATTCATCTGTCTCAACAGTATTTTCCCCCAAAAGGATATGAAGAAGTTGCCAAAGATTGATTGTGTTGGAAAACAGGTCTGTTTGCCCTCACTATTTTGTTGGTGTATGTACTGAGTAGTTCACCATTTTGAATAGGCATTTTTTTTATTAAAATACACTTTTAACATACATAACTTTGGGATTTTTTCTCCACCTTAGCAGTAGGGTTGACATGCATTCACTTTTGTGTTAGTCATAATCAAAATTAAAATGTAGTATTTACTGTGTACATAGGGACAATCATTTTGATTCACCTAGCTACCATCTTCAATTTGAAGAATAATGTACTTGTTACTCAGGATACTACGTCAGCACTAATGTGGATGTGGAGTGGTGAGGGGGTGGGCAGGCAGTTGTACATCTTCAACAGTGAGACTCGTCATTATAAACACAGTGGCCTTTATCTTTCGGGTGCCAAGGTCACCTGCCAGGTCAAGGTCGAAGGAGACGTATGGATAGGAACGGAGGTATGTGGGCCATTTCATTTTTCAGCATGAGAGATAAGAATTTGCTTCAGATAAATGGTTTTAATTGTTTCATTTTGAACAACATTTATAAATAACCAAATTCATGTTTACTGTGCAGTGTTTGTTATGTTCCTGACAACTGACAGTGGTTAGATTCATGTGTTCGTATTATCAAACTATTCTTTAAGTGCAATAACTATACCAGCAGCACAGAACTGGAGATGCCACAGATTTGGTAACCCAAGCACTGCCTGGTAACCCACCTCTGCTGCTACTGAAAATAGTCATAGTTAGCAAAGACAACCCCATTCTCCCATCTTATGCAATCCCCAGTACTGTGATAATGTATGTCAGAAACAAACAAAGAAAATACATTTACTCTTTCTGGCATAAGACAATCTGCAAAAAAGGGTCTATCTTTATGCAATGTGAACTTGCTTTATGAGAAAGTGTTACTCCAGGACAGCATATTTATGACTCACTTTGTGCAATTTGAAAACAGATTTGGATGATGGAACAAGTTTACCTGATTGAGTGTTTTCATTTTTTTAAATATAATTACAGCTCTTTTAAAAGAAAACAATATCAGTAACAGTAAAAAAAATTAAATTGACCTGCATATTCAAATTCTCAAGGCTCTTGAAAATTTGTTTAATTATTTAATCCCATCTAAAGTTAAGCAAACTGTATATCTTTAATTACAAATAGTTCAAATTGAGTGTATTTTATTTTATTCAAATTTGTATTTTCGACAAATACATATATCTAAAATGTGCACTGAAAAAAACCATATATATATTTGAAAAGTTATGGTCTATAGTCTCATTAATCTGCTAAAAAGCAATTTTCTTGCACCAGTACTTTCAGTACAGATTGTAAAGGAAAAGAAGAATTTTTTAACATTTTGAATATTTATAGAAGGAATTTAACAAAGAACAAATCGGACATTTTTTTTTCATCAAGAAGTTTTGTTAAGGTTAAATTTTGCAATTTTTGCCTGTAGATATTTTTTGGCTTTGACTGTCGTTGTCTGCAGCCCAGCCTCCATCTTGTTGTGACAGAGTAGAAGAAATTCAGCATGACAGCCTGACCCAGGAAATGAGGGAAAAGATGGATAACATGCCTTGCAAATGACTATCAGAATGCATTTCAGAAATGCATCTGTCTACCGTAGAAATTCTGTAAAATGGTTTATATGGACAATTATATTTTGTTTTTGTTTTTTTCATATCCTTTCATTTGTATAAAATGTAACTGTATTTTTCTGTTAAACTTTTAAATCAAGGAAAAGCTAGTCAGCTTTATTTGCCTCAGAATTATAATTACATATCATGCTATTATCTTTCTATTTGGTTTTGTTAGAGTCTTGGAAACAATTACGAAAAGCATGTGTTCATTTGTTGATGTTATCTACGACTATTGGTAATTTTCAAAATTGTTATTCTTTAATGAAATGCCATTTTAATAGAGAATTGCCTAAAAGAAGAGTTTCATTAACACCATTCTTTAACTTTTCCCTAAAGACAAATGGGAATTTTTCATAAAGCTTGTCACATCCAATTTTTGCTTGTGATTTTTTGTCTGTGAAATGTTCAGACTTATGGTTGTATGTATTTGTGGAACAAACAGATAGCTCATAGCTCTTAGCTAATACCTTCTCTGTGTGTTTAGGAGCCAATAACGTTATATTTTCAAAAGGTCTTTCCTGTAGTGGAAAAATGTCTTTCTTTTGAAATGTAAATAGCCGTTTAAAACCAGGATCAACATCCCATATTTGGTTGGCATTCTCCTTGTAAAAACATATATCCAGAAAAGGCCACCTCCATTTCAGATTCCGAATCATTTTAGAAGAATTCTTGAAAAATTTCCAGCGCACCTTTTGTGAGACCACCAAAACATAGACGGGACTTAAAGCAGAAACAGCTGCCTTTAGTTTCCCTCTGTCTGCATCATTCATTAGCAAATCTACATCGTCATCCCATGGAATGAAGCCATGGTGCCTGTAGGCTCCCAGGAGAGTCCCCCCATACATCATATATGATAAATTTGCTTTTTTAAGAGCATTAGTGAAAACAGTCAGTAAGTCCATCATCATGCCCAAATCCTTGGAGCTCATGCTAGGCTTGAAATGTGAAACTATTTTTTGCTCTTCAGGAGTCAATTGCACAACATTTCTTGGAATGTGTTCTGTTTTAGGGGAAGTTGAATTTGCATTATTGAATGTTAGAATAGCTGGTTTATGTGCACTAGAGATAGTTGCTGGTTTGATAGATATATTATAAGATCCAGTGAGTTGTTGCACACTAGGTCCCATCCACCATACAAGGCAACCCATGAAATCCACAGTTAGAAAGGCTATAAAGAATCCTACAGTCTTCTTCATTGTTTAGTTCCTGAAGAAGAAGTGAAAATTGTCAATTTAACCTATAAAATTCAAAACCATATCATAACAATGAGCCAATAACTTTTTTACTTAGCAGAAAAAGAACTAAATCTTAAGTGAATTGTAAAAATTAAGGTCTATGCCATCTATTTCTAATTAAAATGTGCACTCAAAAGCCAATAATGCTTTTGAAAAACTTAATAGTTCACATTGAGCACCATTACTTAAATTTTGACCAAGGATCCCTCAATCTAGTTTAGTTTTACCCATGACCATGACTAGCTGTTTTTGAAAGTAAAGTTATAAAATTTAGTCTCATCCTTTTATAAAATTAAGTCTCATTCTTTGCTTACATATGTAATTCATTACCAAACCCAGTTCAATCTTTTTCCTATCCCGTCTTATCTTGGAACAGTAAGCATTATAGCATATGAAAATTTAACAAGATATCACACACCTTCAGAAACAGGACACACATGCCTGGGGAAAATAACTACAGGGATTTTCATGCTCCCTTTTAATGGTCTGCCAAAATCTAAGTAGGGTTTTGCTGGAGAGTGAGATGATAAAGTGTCCAGGCTTACTAACTCCAGATATATTTTTTGTATGTTGAAGACCTTGTTTAAAGCAGTTATTAAACAATAGTAGTTTAAAGACTTGACATTAGACAGCATTGATTAATCAACATTAGTTAAATTTGTTTTAATTACCTTTCGTTGTTCTTTCAGGCCATTTTTTCCATTTCATGTTTTTAGTTGCCTTATTGTTAATTTGCCTTAGTAATATAATTTAATTACCAACTAGGGAATTGGATTAATCAGCTTGAAGAAATTTCACTTCCTATTGTGAAAATATTATTAATAAGAAACTCCAAGCAAATTATAATAGGAGTCTGAAGAATACTTATTTATGATCTGTGGTTTATATTATGTTTGAAATATCCAATGGTGTAAATACATTTAGATATTCATGAAGGCGAAAGCAACACTAGAAGTGCAAAACCATTTTAACCTATTGATTGCGTGAGATTATAGAGGATAAAGAAGGTTTTTAGATCTTCCAAGCAGCTTTCTCATCAGCATGTATTGCCCTGGGAATAACTGGTAATTTCATTTTGATGGTTATTTGGAGCATTGGCAGTTGTACTAGTGGTAAGGCCTGCATCTGATAGAGCATTATTTCATGATTACCAACATGATACACATAGTTCTCAAAATTAGACGTTCCATTGTTCAGTTATTAACAATAAAATGCCACCTTAAGAAATTAATTGAAACTTATCATACACACTAGCACGCACACGCACACACACACACACACACACACACACACACAGAGACCAGAAAGCATTAATGAGATGGGGAATGGGGCTTAGAAAAACTTTAGGTCAGAAAAATTCTACTCTAAATCAAATATTGTTCTCGGTTCAATGCCATTGTTTAGATTAGGTCAGCTAAATTTGTAAAAAGGTCACCTTCTTTTAAAGAAGACCCCCCCCCCCCCTTTGAAATTTCCAATTAGATTCTAACGTGACCTATGGTCGATTCATATTCATTAATTAATATTAACTAGACAAAGAATTGCTAGATTTTTCACTCAATTTTGTGTACAGTTGTTGTTGCAATGTTTCTTGGATATTTCCATAGATAATTCTTATGTCTGATTTGATTTATGTTGAAACTTATTGGGATTAGACTAGAGTTTTTGGCATGTTACTGTGATGCTGAAATTACTGCGGTACTTGTGTGGAATGTTTCATTACACTGGACAGTGACCATCAAATTTCAAAATGGTTTTCTTTCTGTAGTGGATATCTGGTACTCAGCCTCTTCTTATTGGTCATAAATGAATTTAACATATATGCACCAAATCTCATCCAAAAGTATTTGAAAAATTATTTTGATAAAAATGTTCTTTTGTAAAGTAGCTGTTAAGTTTTAATGCACGAACATATGTGCAACTTTTTTCCTTTCCAGTCTAGTCAGTATGTGGTGTTTCTCTCGTCCATTATTTCTCAAATCTCCTCTAGTATAATTCTGTGAATTAGTCACTTAGTTGTACAAGAGGCAACGAGTCTAAGACCCCATTCCCCACAGAATTTAGATTGATCTATCCCCGTGGGGAGTCTCACTAGATTACTGTGAGCTTAGCTGGCCTAAATGTCTGTTCCGCCTACTAAAAGCTGTAAGGGGGTAATTAACTTCGTGCGCGGTCGGCTGACAGCAATTTAGTGTGAACCCTCTGAGAGTTAGGTCAATCTAGTTAGATCGATCTAAATTTCTGGGAATGCGCTCTAAATGTGGTTTTGTTCTCCTAATTTCCAGTGCACTATAAAAATTCTTTACTTTTTCAGACTTGCAAGTTTTATAATTCTCTTATTTGTTCTAGAAACTGTCAAATTGTCAATTAATTAATGTTGATCCCCCTTGCATGCACTCATGTGCATTCACACACAGACACACACACACATACACACACACACACACACACACACACACACACACACAGGGGAGTTTTGTCTCTACTACCTGCCTACTACAGTCTCTCATGATATACCATCTTGCATTTGGAATCTTACTCTGACACAATATGATTGGGCACGTGACTTGAAATTCTTGGTACAACAGGAACTAAAGTTGTAACAGTGATTAAATCCTGATTAGTTCTGAAACTGAAACAGAAACAAAAAGTTAATATTCACCATTTACTGACTATACTGATATTAGTCACAGAAAAATCATTCAAGACTAAACCAGACAACAAATACAGAATACTTGCCTGCGTTCCTGAGAAGCAACCAGAACTGAACAGTGACTAAGCAGTGCACTTTGTACTTTGTAATCCAATCTGCGGTCTGTCTGTACTTGCAGTTCCAGTAACCAGTACATTTCTCATTGCTGCCTATGTCCAATATTCCTGCAGGCAGTTCAATAATTACCAACTGATCTGCTGCTGTCCAATAAATTCACCAGTTTCTGTATCTAGTGGTGGCAAATACCATTTCTTCTTACCCAAGAGGCAAAAATTACCAGATATTTATAAACAAGATTATGTCGGTTCGTCAGCTGCCTGCTTGCTTTCTGCAGAATGACTATGTGGTGGTAATTTGGACCATGTGGTTAATTCCACTACTTACTGCAGGAGGGGTGTTAGGTAGTATGTGAAAACCATATTGGAACTGTCTGTGGGAGATACCATACTGGAACTGTCTGTGGGCTATAACCTGAATCCTTTAACCTAAAATGCTTATTGAAATATTTTTGCATTTGGGATCTTGTGAAAAGCATAACATTGTGGGAAGTTATTAACAGTCCAAGAATACAGAAAACCATTAGAGTCAATTCAAAAACAACAGCTCCTTATAGGAAGAATTTATTAACCACGACAACCTAGCTGTTATTCTAACACAGGCCAAGTGACTTGGAAGGGGGGGGGGGGGAGTTAGTCGTACTTTCATTTGACATATTGTTTTATATTGTTTGATGTAAAAAAAAAAAAAAAGAATGCAAAGGTCATAGTGGCAAAGTTGTAAAGGCTTAAATGTAAAGAAGTGGTAAAGGGATCACAACAGATCTTATGAGATTCATATTTCATTATAAATACATTGTAAGCAACTCCTAGAAATAAATTCCATTTTACTGCCAAAACAGCAGTTATTGCATTTATTCCGGAATCTATGCTTGCCATCAGACCATGCGGACCTTCATAAATGGATATACCTCAGTAATAATCTCATATGAGATCATTACAACAAACCAAATTTTTTAGAAAAAAAAACATGGACTAACTTTGAATGGATTCATTACGTAACCATTGATGAGTATGAGGAAATTATCCTTGCCCCAAGTGGAGCACTTGTTTTCCCTTTAAATATGCTTGCTGAGTGTGGTATTAAAGAGATATGAAAAAGAAAAAGATCAAGAAAAATGATGTAGAATATGAAGGAAAGATTACTATAACCAAGTTATTGGTATCATCATTTATATTTATCAATGGCATATATTGGAATAAAGCATTTTAAAGATTTGCACAAAAGGTTGCTTATTATTACCATGCCACTGAAAATTAGTTATTGATTATCCCAAATATATTCTTGCTTACTGAAGCAGTTTATTGCAGCATGCTGATTCCGTAAAAGATAAGATTTATGTTCTGTGATTAAAGAAAAGGAGATACAGGTTTTTGTATTTGAAACTGATTGGACCTTAACTACACTTCATTACAATAAACATTTAGGATCTATCATACTGTGTGACCCAGTAGAGACTGTTACACTAAAATAACCAGGGGCGGATCCAGGATTATCTGAAGGGGGTGTCCGCGGATATGAAGTGTGGGGTTTGGAGTCTGGTATTTTAGCTGGCGAATGGGGCCATTCGTACAGTTTAGAGCAGCTTGTCAAAATTCTAATTTGAAGAGGGAACCTTTGGTATGTTTTTTTTTTTTTTTCTGAAATCGGAGGGGGGGTCAGAACACCCCTGACACCCCCTAAATCTGCCACTGATAACCCATTTGATGTGAAAAAAGCCTCACAATAACATGGCCTACCTTAGATGACAAAAACCTCTCCATTCAGCATATTAAAATTTTACAAATTTTAATATTTTACTAAGGCATGTAATGTCTGTTTTATGCAGAAGAATTAATCATCACACTTGTTTCCAAGTATGATCACTCTGTCAGTAGATCTTCCTCTTGACTATAGGTACAAAAATCACACTTTATTTTAAATTAAAGTCAGATATATGTGAACTAATATCAGCTTTCCACAGTCATTTCATATGATATACACATGTTCACTGGTTCCTTATATACAGCAGAAGGACCATCTCCTGTACCTGAACATTAAAAAAGTATGACTTGATGGGCCAAAGTACTTACAAGTGACAATTGTGCCGGGGTGAAACATACTGTATTTGGCAAACAATGTGGCAGGTGATATGTTGCCCATCAACATCTGATTGTGTTGGTCTTTTTAAGGGTTTTTATATTTTGTATGTATTCTGATTGGTCCGTCTGTCCGTGTCATCACAGTCACGACGTTTGCCCCAAAACAGCCAAACCATATTTTTGTTTTACTTTAATTTACTGAGTGGCTTGTTTGGTAAAGAGGCAGGTTTACTTTTTGTGTATGTGTGTGAAATTTTAGCACTTTCAGTAGCTTTTATATCCTGTGGAACTGAATCATTTGCTAGTTTTTCAGTGTCCATGTTACCTGAAGTACATAATTTAAGAGGGTAAACGTGACTATCCTGTTTTAAGGCATTATGAAACAGTGCATCAAAATTGGCCAAAACATTATTTTGTGCACTTTTTTCTATGCAATGTCTGAACATTTGACAGCTTTTCTGCCTTGTTTCCTGTATGGCATCTGAATATTTGGCAGCTTTGCTCTCTAGTTATCTTCGTTTTCAAAAAAAAAAATGTCATCATAATTGTGAAAAGTCTTTACTTGATGACTACAAGTTCTCCCATAATGTACTGATGACCTTTGAAAATGACACATCAATCAGTAGTTAATCCAAGTAAGGAAAGTGAAGTTGACAATATAACTTAAATTATCAGGAGTATAACACTGCATCTACCCTGTACATCTACTTACTGTTTTGCTTTCATATTGGTAAATTAGGTTAATTTGGTTGTATATTTTCTTTGTATATTACTTAAACTAACATGTTCATTTATTTGTTTATTGTAGTAAGTTTTGTGTAAGTGTACTTACAAATATGAGTATGCTTGACCGAAAAAGTTCAGAAACAATATGTTGAATAATTATTAAACAACCATAAAAGCTAAGGTAAATATTTTAACCACATATTGATAGGTAATGCAGCAATTATTCATTCCTTTTTTATATACTTTGAAGAATTTCCCACAACATTACGTAGTTTTTAATTATTGAAGAACAATTTCATTTTTCTGAACTTTTTTGGTCAGTTGTAAATAAGGTGGTTTTGGTGTAGAGCATCCTTTTACTCAGTGCTGTCAGTGTTTTATTAAAGGGATAATAACTCTTCGTATGAGATCTATATTTCACAATAAAAACATTGTGAATAGCTCATAGAAATATAATATATTCTGTTTTACCACAAAAATGGCAGTTATAGCTATTATTCTGATATCTGAGCTTGTCTTTAGACCACGTGACCTCCATTGATGGCTATACTTTTTAGAAAAAAAACAGGGACTAACTTTGAATGTAAAAATGGATTCATTAACCATTGGTAAGTATGGGAATATTGTTGTTTACTCCAGGAAAATTAATTTTTTGGTCGGAACGAAGAGTTATTATCCCTTTAAGTGGTTTGCAGGATACAGCCTGTCACCGAGATTCAATTGCAGGCCATCTCTGTCTCTTGCCACTGTCTTTATATATTCAAAGATGTTTGGAGAAATAATAGGGGCAGATTACTTGCAGCTATGAAATACTAATAAAACCATGTTTTTTTCTAGAACAAAGAGCTAGAAGTGGTGAGCAGACCAAGAGTAGGCACCCCCAAAATTATTTTTATCAAGACCTTGAAGGAGGAACCACGGTGTATGCTGTACCAGAAACAACAGGTAGTATGATTTAAATGTGAAAATGCAACAGATGTGGGCAGTGCAACTTTTTTTTTTTTTTTTTTTTTTTTTGCAGGATGTTGAGACAGTTATCATCTCTCAGAGTAAGACAATGGAAGAGGTCTGTAAACCTAACCACCCATTTGCCAGGAAAAAATATTCCCTTTGTATCAAAATTTGATCTAGGTTCTGTCATTATAGTATACAGGTAACTTTTTGAGAAAAAGGACCAACCCCCTCCTTTGAAATTTCTGGCTAAAAAAAGGTCTGTATCATATGGTTCACATGTACAATTTTGTTAACAAATTACTTGAGAAATTGTTAGCTGAGGACACCTTGTTTAGAGAATGAGCATCTCATACATCCTGTGGTTATACATAAATAATTGATACAAAATATTTCATTTAATTTACCCATCAAGGTAAAATGTTATCTTTTGTAACCTTTTCTAATGTATATCCTGAAAATTGGTTGGCCCTAAAACTAAATACACTTTATCATTATGTGCCTGATATAGTTTTGTGGGTATTTACCAGGGTGTTGCAACAGAAAGTTTGATCTTATCCTTATATTCCATTTTACCTCTGGCTAAATGGCACAGATACGGTTATTTATACTGTTCAAAACAAAATTACAACAAAAAAAAAGAAAGAATATTGGGATGTTCAGAGAACTGTCACAGATATTTCTATTCAACTTGTGTTGATAACTGATAACTGACATTGATTAAATCTCTCTGATTCAGCAAAAAAATTAGTCTGGGGCATAGACAAAAATAGTAAAACTCAGTTTGGGTAATTATCTTCTTTCATTTTCTGTAATTTAGATTGACATTCCACGAGTTTACATTGGTCTGAAAGGTGGGCGCCTGGTGATACTTGACCCAGCAGAAAGCATGCCTGCTCATTCTAAAGCTTCTCCATTCAAATGGAGAGAGCAGAAGACATTATTTGTGCAGCCAAAGGACCAGCTGGACATGCCTGTATCCTGCATGATCATAGTAAACCAGGGCCAGGAGCTGTGGGTGGGATGTGGGCACTCCATCAGTATTATCAGCACAAAGACATTTATGGTGGAGGAACGCATTCAGGCATTTATGCAGTCAAAACTGGTTGTAGGGACTATGGTGTGTTCAGGCAATCATGCATGGGTTGTCAGCCATAAGGCACCACTGGTGAAGGAATACAACACTCAGACCAGAGAGGTTTGCTCTATTTTGGACTGCTCATATAATCATCCACTGGACTGCAACATTGCATCACCAGATTTGCCTGAAGTGGATATCTTATTAGAAAGTTCCTCCAGCGCGAGTGAGGCAGATGATGAGAGGGAAGAGGATGGAGATGAAGAGAAGGAGGAGGAAGTCAGTGTATCCATGAAACCACTTGATCCACCATCATCACCAGAAACAGGTGAGGAATTACAAGCAGACAAATTACGTCGGCCAGGGGATTTTGCCACAAACACAGTTCATGATTTACCAGAACCAGGAAAGTCCTTCATCAAGAGTGAACATTCAGTCACAGGAACTACTGGTAATGAGTCGGACTCAGAAGGCAGCAGTCTTAGACTCCATCCTCCATTAGCACGATCACATGCTCTGCGCGGTCATACTTTATCAAACAGAGCCACCACCATCGCCACTCCATCTGTCCTTAGAGATGTGCAACCACTAAGGGGTAGAGTGAAGTCCGACATCATATGTCCAGGACTGCGTACAACATTCAACAGTAAGACCCGGGTGTTATCTTTAGCCATTGTCCAGGACACCATTTGGGTTGGACGAGCTGGAGGAGATATACTGGTGGTGAATGTAAGCAGGAAGGAACCACATGGCTATGACTATGGTCGTGTGTTGGCCCAGCTTACATACAAGGATTTGCCTGAATTCAAGGGAGGGGAGATAGACCAGCTGGTCTGTGTGTTTGGAGACCAGGTGATTGCTGTGCGTCACTTTGTCAGGCGACCTACAGCAGAGGTGACTGCAGATGTGATAGCCCCTGAGGAATGTACCCAGTTGCTACTGTGGGAGGCATATGGAACTGACTTGATACATAGGGTGCATAGTGTGTGGAACTAATGTGAACATATTCTGATATCTGTACTGACATTCCTTCATTGCATGGGTGACATCGAGGTCTTTATGCTTTTCAAGGAGTTTATTTTTTACAGAAATGTGCCGTGAATTTCAAAAAGCTTATTAACTTCTTACAATCTTAAAAGCAGCCATCTGGGTTTTTTTGGGAAGCATGAATTTCGACCAGTAAGCCATTGTGCAAATGTTATATCACCCTATACAGACTGCACCATGGGTTTGATTGGATAAATGTCTACTGATGGACAACAATCACCAGTTAGTTGCATAATGAAGAATTATTGAATAAATATAATTTTGATATCTATTGTATTGATAACAGCAGCCGGTAGATTTCAAGGTACATGTGCATCTTTTCAGTTAATTTGAAGGTTAAATCATCAGGTTCTTTCAAATTTCACTGTATCATTATATGCACACCAAAGTGACTAATCAATTTTGTCTGATCTCTTGCAATACAAATATATTAGCATTATTTCTGTTAAAAGGAGATTGACAAAGGTAAAATTTGCCAACTTCAAACTAATGTATTTGTGAGAAATACATTTGACAAAAAATGGGAGTTGTATATTTTCAAAATCAATAAACATTTTCAGTTGTAGAGTCTGAGATAGATAGATAGATAGATAGATAGATAGATAGATACTGGTATAACTGTGCCAAGCTAAGTAGAGAAGCAGCTCTTTGCTGTTTTACAGTGTTTATATACGTATATATTATTCTGCATATATTTTCATATATTAGATTATATTTGGTATTTTAGGTTTAAATAAAGACAATTTGAAGTAGCTTCATGATAAATATATAGGTGTAGCTTCATGATTACTAGATACACCCAAATGACAGATTAGAAATATTTTTTAAAAAAAAGGGTAATATTAAACTGCTGAATTTTATATGTATACTGGGATGAGTTGATTATTCAAACCGATGAATGCACAGTAAGATTTATCTGGTTAGTTTAATTCAACTTTTGCTGACCTTGGGATAGATAACTAGTGACTTGTTCAAATTACTGAGGGTTATTGGGGATAAAGAGCTTTGCAAGATGTTTTATTTTATATTGTTTTATAGGATTAGTAATTTGACATTTTTAATACAAATCGGAGGTTGATAAATTGTAGGATTTTTCTTGCCATAATAATAATCATTCATGTTTATGATTTTTATAGTAAGTTGATAGCTTATGCCACAACTCTTTTGAGTTATTTTTAAAACTATGATATTGTGATATAGAAAAACGAAGATCAAACTACTGCTGTATGTTACTATTTTACTGTACTATACCTGGAGGTGCTTTCTGTGATTAGAAGTTTTTTTATATATGATGATTAATAATACTTTTTGTTAGTGAATGGTTGTGATCCAATTCAATTTGTGAAGTCGTCTTTTAAAACAGTTTCAACCATAACCACCAGATTTTCTAAAATATGGTAGGTATGGCAAACATGTCATTCAATCCCTTCAAGTCACCCTAACCTCTTCAAGTGACTTGACACGATGGAGATAGGCTACAGTGAAGAGGTTAGTGTCAAGTTATCTCTGGGTGCTTCAAGTTTGAATGCAACTAAAAATAGCCTTCTCTTGCATGAACAATATCATGTCAATTCCACAAAAATCTGTCTGCGTATCTTTTCAAGTTAACTTTTTCATGTGAAACTTAGATCGAAGCAGTTCTTTTTATACTAAAGCATATGTGGTGTCAATGTACAGTGCAGAAAAGACTCCCAGGCGTTCCTACTGCTCCGTTGCACCGGTTTGTCTGCAACCGGCGTCCGCTATGTTTATGTTCTGACCTCGCTTTTTGGTTTATTTTCGAAATTGAGAGCAGGTTGCCTTTGTGCACTCCAACAAGTTGGGCACCCAACGGACAGTGGAAAGCTGTAAACCAATCGCCGATGCCTAACAGAATTTGGACACAACGGCCCAGGTTGTATGTCTAATGGCGACGTGGTTGCAATTCCCTCAGAATATAAGCGTGACCTTTCTGTAAGGATCATGAAACTACCATTTCTGTTAGTAGAAGCCTGTCGTAGGCCTACATGGCTTCGATCCGTATCCGGTGTCTCTAAACCATTTGGCAGAAATACACGAAAGTTGTTCCTTTTGCAGCAATCTGCTGTAAGTTTCCAATTTTCCAGATCGTGTTCTGTTACTTCAGCAGAGACTCGAGATCGATGGAGTTTACTTTTTGGACGCCTTTCTTTTTGCTTGGTGGTCTTTTGAACTTGGCAATTTTCTTCAGCCATCATCTTAAAATCTGAAAAACATGGATCAACTCTTACTCATTCACAGGGGCACAATATATATATATATACCTGTATGATCATAATTCTACATTTTACCAAGTAACACCTCTACTATCTTTTATTACATTGGTCCGGTAATTTAGTGCTTATAATATAATAAACACCAACGTGGAGAATTACACGCGAGAGTGTAGCACGAAAATTCATGCGTTAGCACTCCTATTGACGATTCTGATATGTACTGGCTGTGCTGTGTGTCAATATAGGAGTGCTAACGTATGGATTTTCGTGCTAGCGAGAGTGCCGAGGCACGTTCCTCAAATTTTCACAAAATATTTTTCTGATAAGGCTGGCCCAGACGGGTTGTCTGAATCTTCTCTCCCCTACCCTATCCGCGGTCCGTTCGCCTCGTCATTTTCAGACTCTGACTATTATTCTATTTTGGGCGCATGTACGTATGCCTGGTAGACCTATGATAAATAAATACTGTAGACTAGAAAAAAATTAAATTTTTAAATTTGTTTAAATTGAAAATTGCTCCGTACTTACCACAATGCTAGTAAGTCCTAAAATATCCACGAAACAGTTGAGTTCGTCTCGGGTCTTGACATACCGAAAAGAACAAAGACAAAACGTTTTCATTGACTGTATACTTCTCTAGTGTAATTACTGCGACCAGTGCCCGCGTCCAGCGTAATTTCATGCAGATTTGATGTTTATCATGGCGACGTGACGTTTATCACATTGCGCGTACGTTGCACAGTGGTTGTCTTGACAGCCTTGGATATTGCGTCACATTGGCGAAAATACTATAAGTACTATGTGACCATAATTTACATATTGTATTTTTATCTTTTATATTTATTCTATAATTGGAAATTTAATTGATTATAGGTCCCATGAAAATAATTGTGCTAAAATAAAATGTTTGTGTGGCTATAAGTTTGAAGTTTGTCATTTTCTTATTGCAAATATTCTTTTTTTGTTAACAAGTTGAGAAGCAAAAGCTGAACGGTACATTGTAACTTCGTTGGTAGTCCATTGACCTCATTTTGTTTAGATTTAACGAATTAAGTATCATTTAATTTCGTCTCAATCTCTGTATAAGTCTTCGAACGACGTTTCTAGATTGGGGGAAAGATGCTATGGTTTCAGAAGAATCTTCCGACTCGGTGATATCACTGTTTATCTCGGTTACAGTGTCCAAATTAATATCGTTAGACGTTTCTGTATCAGTTTCGGTACCTGTGTCAGAATCGTTTTTATCATTATCGGTTTCAGTGTCAGATTCTAAATGGATGTCTGACTCCGTTGAAGTTCCAGTGCTTATGAATGTTATCTTTTTTATTTCAATATGTTGGTCAGTGGCTGCCTTGGATTGGAATGGCAGCTCCCATAATGGATATTCTTCTGTTAAATTGCATTGCACTCCAGTGCACTTGGTTCTAACATATTCAGTATTAGTAGAATTGCTACGAACAGTTACCAAATTCCAAAAGTCTTGGGTGCGTCCTCGATCCGATACTTCGGAAAATTCGTTGGCTAAATGTCTTTCTGAATCCGGAAATGGGCTTTCTGAATCCCGTAAGAGGCCGCTGTCCGTCTCCGAATGTGATGCTTCCTGGGCATAGTATTCTGCCAAAGAATGAAAATCGGGAGCACGGTTTTCGTGTGGCATCGGGCTATTTCCACGATAGTTATGTCTGTTTCGGTTGGAGGCAAGAGTTACGTGCAGTGGTAGGTTAGGAAGCCAATGTACATCCAATCTTTTGAGAAATTCATGCACATGTTGCCTAATCGAATAATCTGGTCGTGTTCCCCTTAAAGAAGAAAAATGGTAAATCAGCACCACGATAGTGACCCTTTACATATGCTTGCTCCTCCAGTAACGTTCACCTCATTTTTTTTTTTTTACGTTGTCATATGTACTTAATTTGCTTTGATATTTACCGCAATCCGTGCGTTCTACTCATGCGTCCAATAAATTCTCATTCACTAACACTTACCTTGGTAAGCATTCATCCCCATTAGAATCCAGGAAAGAAAGATCAACTCTCTTATTAGTCTTATCATCCAAAGCATCCAGCAGTTTCCTGAGCAGCCCTGACAGCAATTCTGTCCTGCGAATGGCGACAGTTAGCCTGGAATACGATTTATAAAGATCTCTGTCCACGTCCTCGATCCTTTTCTCCAGCCAACCTATGTGGTTATGTAGGAAGAACACTGGGGGGAGAGAATATAATTTTTAATGGTAATAGGCCTATATACACTGTGCAAATGCTTATTTTCCTTCAGACAAAGAAGCAAATCTAAATTCAAATCATTACTGCATTTAATTTTTACTTGAAATGTTGATATTACGCCAGTGATTTTGTAAAACTTTTGAAACAAATGCAGCAAAACTGTTTTTGATAATGGATTTATCTTAATTTATTGCCTGGCCAATATTATTATGATCTAAGACGAATGTATATATAATATTGGCGTGACCATTTGGTTATATACTGTTAACTATTACAACTGTTTATCTCAGAGAATGCGGACAAAGAGATACACAAAGTTGGCCTGTAAACGTAGCGGAAATAAACGTCTGGCCTGTTTTACGGGCTTTCTATTTGACCAAATTCCATAATAGACATACGCCATAAATGAGCTTTAAATGTAAAATGTGAATACGTATATTGTACTAATAGGTCCAGGTCATTTATATTAACCCTGTTTTTAGTACTGGACTTGAACTATGAAAACCATTTGTCTCATTTACTCATAGAACTGATTTTAAAGGACAAAATTATTATCCATTTGCAGAATACTCACTGTCTGTGAGCGGTACTCGGAGGTATGGTCCATTGCACCCCCGCCGTTGAAGCTCAACTTGATCTTTATGAACCTGTACCTGAATCATCTGAGGGACAGTGAAAGAGTCCCAAAATCTGCAGCAATAGATGTACATATAAATAGAGCTAGACGAATACAAAGATAAATGTATTAACTCATTATAACTCACGCCCTTTTTACAAAACTGGTCTGTGCTGACATTTGAATATGTCTAACAAGATAACTCTTCGTGATTTAAACATAATGACAAACCTGGAGATGCTTTCTTTGAAATTCAAATCGAAGCGATTATACCCATCTCTGCCCGTATCGGCGAAGGCTGACTGATTTAGCCAATAGCAAGCTCTTACTGATTCTTCCACGAACTGCATAGCTTTCTTGCTTTCTATAGAGCCATAATTCTATCTGAAATGGTTTAATGAAATTCAGAATGATATAGATATTAATTTTGTTGTTGATCGCTATTACTTCATATTCATTATAAGAATTGTGTTTTTGTCTATTGCAGACATAGTGTCTACCTTTCCTCACTTGGCCCACTCAAAACGTTGTCAGGATATACAGCCTTTTGTGTTGTCACGTGTCAGCAGGATCTTTGTGACGTCCCACATTGGTGACGTCCGAAGACCAAATTACGTTTTGATCTCGTGATAATAACGTTTTCTTGGAGCATTTGTCGTTACTTCTCAGTAAAATATTAAATTGTCCATCCGGTAGAATACAACGGCGGATGACACAAAGCACCACTGCTATGCTATTATTGATGTAAATTTCTTTTTTGTTGTAAAAAACATATATAGAATTTAAATTATCGTGCTTTATTATGAGACCAAAAACAGACGACTCTTCACAGGTTGATGGATATTTTATTTATAGAATTTAATTGCAATATTGCTATAAGTACATTATGTGTTTATCAGTAGGACCACAATTGTTTTGATTCGTTTAAAATTTAAATTATCAAGGTTTTTCTTCAAAAGCAACTACATTACTTAACAAGATGAACGCTTCTTCCACTGCGTTTGAGCAGTTAATGGGACGAGGTGGGAACTGTTTCGCAATTCTAATTTAAAACTCCCGACCCGGGTGATCGAGCCACTTCGTAAATAGATGGGCTAACTTCTGGGGTCATTGTTACTCTGGCTATGGAAGTTCTATTCACACATGACTTCAAAGATCCATGGCGAACCACCACGATCTATGTTTGAAATGTGATATGTCGCTCTTCTTTGAAAAGACGTAGAACAAATCTACCCGCCGCGGACTTCCTCCGTCGCTCGACCTCTTTGCGATAACGAGGCGGCAACGGGTCTTTGCTGAAGGAGAAAAGCCCGCCATCCATTTCAGTTGGTAGGATCAGAGGGTATGAGAGGGCTGCAAACGCGATATCAGCCCCAGAAGCCTGTCTTGTGCCTAATATATACTTTCGGCCATCGGACAACAGTTGGTTGACCTTGTCCCATGTTTTATCAACTTGCTCTATATTTGCTTTGAATGTCACTTGATCGTCGACTTTCAGACTGAGTTTGATTATCAACTCATAACCAGGCCACAGGAATGGTAGCAATACAGATTGCCATTTTGAAATTCCTTTTTTGCACACTTGTAATAATTGTTTTTTACCGTCGTCTTCCTTTGCCGTGAAAAAATAATGGTATACACATCTCATGACAGCCTGACCATACGAATCGTCAGCTGAGAGGTTCATTTCAAATTCCTCCGCATCCCTGGATGGGAAAACCCAGTCCTCTCCGAATCGTTCGTTATTCAAGTCCCCGAGGAAGCGGAGGCAAGCGTGTGAAGTTGGCAGGACGCGATGATCGGGGTGGGTTATCATAATAGGAACGGCACGATTGGAGCCCAGAGTTTGGAACAGGCTAACAAAATAATGGAAGATTGGCCCTACAGACCTCTCGTCATATGGCTCTCCAGCCATGTCAAATGCCCACCTCACTGTCTCGCAAAAGGGAGAAAACGGCATTGTTATCAAAACGTGTGTTTTGGTATTTCCACCGGAGATTAAACTGTGCGCCCATCTAACTGAGCTTGAAATTAATGCTGACGTTCTTGGGAACCAGGTCGATAATTTGGTGTACACTATAATGTAAAGCTGCCACACCATCAGGGCGATCCAAATGTAGACGAAGGCCAGAATGCCAAAAGCTTCCCTCATTAGTGACTGCAGCCAACTCCGGACGTCTGCCATGGCCTGCAAATCAATGAAGTGAAGAGGCTTACAAAAAAAAAAAAAACGTTCAGTAAAGATTGTCAAAAACTTGGCAAAATTTGAATTGCTTAATATTAATATCTAATTGGTTCGGCCTATCTAGGATCCGACAAAAAATGTTATGTAGGCTCCCAGAGCCTACTTACACGTATAGAAGCATACCATGCAAAAATACTCGATAACGGACACCTTACTCTCCTAGCGCTCTTACTATGTAGATGTAATAAGTTGTAAAAGGAAACGCATGATTCAACAGTTATGTAAAGGTCCACACGTTATATCGGGATGACACATTTGACCCAGACATGGACGAATGTATAATTCGTCCATGACCCAGACGATTACCAATAAGTTAACAGTTCTCGATTATGTCACGTTGCACGACCAAATCATAACTTCAACCACATTATAGGCAGTTGTTTTTATAACCTTGAAACTATTCCTAGCCACTTATCAGTGAGTAATGTGTAAGCTGTACCAGTACATACTGTTACACCATCGTTCTATGAAAGACGGTGTATACCACTCGTCATTATTCAAAGTAGTTATACATCTTATTTCATTTTACGGATTGTTCAGCTGCGACCCCCCTCCCCTGCTTTTCAATTCTTTTTTCAATTCTACTGTTGATTATAGCTTCCATCTTTATTTATATCCAGGATCCAGGATTATTTGAAAGCCCCCCCTCCCCCCCCCTTGGCTTTAGAAATATTTTGGTATTTTAAAGGGTGAACGGTGCCATTTGGTGCGGCCAAGAACTATAATTCAGCTAGTCAAAATTCTAATTTCAAGAGGGGACCATTGGTGTGATATTTTTTTAGAAATCGAAGGGGGAGGGGGTTAAGACCCCCCTGACCCCCTTCTAAATCCGCCACTGATATCCTGTTTTTAGAAGTGAAGTTCACTATGTCTCCTCGGAGTAGAATATTCAAATAAAGTATATCGAAATAGCAGCTGCAAAGACATAAAGATCTCAGCACAAGTTTTTAATGAAATTTCAAATTGACCGTTCGTAAAAATTTCCTTAATCTTAAATCTCATTTTTGTCCTTTTTTTAAGAAAAACGTCGCTGTCCTAGACCATATAAGACCATTTTGACCCAGGATGAAATCCAAGGAACGCACAAACAATTTCAGGGGAGATCCAGGATTATCTAAAGAGGGGTTCCACGGATGCGAAGCCGAACACCCCCCTCCCTTGGCGTAGGATTCGGGGCCTGCTAAAGGGTCCAAAAATCTTTTGGTATTTTAGAGGGCGAAGGTTGCCAGTACGGTTTAGAACTATGATTCAACTAGTCAGAATTCTAATTTTAAGAGGGGCCTCCTGAATCCGCCACTGAATACCATTTTTATGGAATAAGTTAGACTGTAGTAGGACTGGGTATGGATAACTGGGCCCCGTAACTCGAAAGCATCGCTTATGGCGAGCGGGCGCAAGCATGGCGATTCCTCGCTATCCCATATCTCAAAAGCCTCGCAAATCGCGACCGTGCGCTAATAGCGAAATAACCATTAGTTTCGAGGCTATTATTTACGGCGAGTAAAACCCGTCGCAATGGCCTCTGCGTATGCATAATTCGTCATTTTAATGCGTCTTTCATGTAATTAAACGTGGTGGAAAGTTTGGGTTGCTAGTGATAATAGCATATAACAAAACATATGCAAAAACATGGAAGCTTATAATAAATTGAATCACTCGGTACCTCTGATAGAAAAACTCACTGTAAATATTCACGTGAAGAATGCTTAAGTCATGTTTTATTATGCATAAAAATTTCAAAATTAAACATTTCATACATCATTTTATATTTTTTGATGAATAAAATTCATCTGTTTAGTCTATTGATAACAATCATAAATTTACACAAAATGAAAAAGACAAAGCATTCGGTCGCACCGTGACCTTCTTCAATGTCTATTATTGTGCCTCGAAACTAATGGTGATTTCGCTATTAGCGCACGGTCGCGATTTGCGAGGCTTTCGAGATATGGGATAGCGAGGAATCGCCATGCTTGCGCCCGCTCACCATAAGCGATGCTTTCGAGATACGGGGCCCTGGTTTCTTTGACACAGCCATGCATTCCGTTTTAATTGTACAACAATAATCTGCTGAAGGTCTTATTTTCAAAATTCGTGATCCTGTTACTTGTACAAAACAGCTAGAGACTTTTTCGGTCACCCTTTGGCTATTTTCGACCCTCAGCTGGGTCGGCCAATCTTACAATGTTTTCCAAACCAGTAACAACAGTCTCGTCCATGTTGATCCTCATAATGTTTGACGCATTTCTTTATGGTTTTATAATTATTTAGCACCTATCGCAACCAATTCTGTCTCATTCCATAGTTAAAACCCCTCCCCACGTCCATTGTAGTTAAAAGAACAAATTGACATTTGCTGTTTTGAGACATGCAATACATTTTTGGAATGTACTATTCAGTGAAAGACCATTATTTCTGGCATTATAATAACAAAAATAGGATAAGTTTATACAGGGTCACCCTTTGTCGGACACACAATGGAACCAAGGACGCGAAGTAAAATCTCACCCCTTTATCCTCGAGTGATTTCGAGGCTTTGGAGTGTGGAGCAGTCCGGTTCCGGACAAATTCAGCATTAAATTGAGGTAAGTTACTTCAATGGTTTTAAAACCAGGGCATTTATATCATACCAATTTAATTCAAGGAATTATGGCATGGTTCTTAGTCACAAGGGATGCCAGGATGAACACTATGACTGTGGGAGGGCGTTTGTAAGTTCTCCTCCGTTCTATTGGTCACGCCCTTCTTCATCCTCGAGTCTCGACTAAATGAAATGAGCAATGGCAACCCTTAAGTGACCGCAAAGATTGGATATCCAGCATCTTAGTACAGAAACAAAGCCACAATGATGGGCATTCATACGTGACAATTTGGAAAAAATGCAATCCTCAGTTTAAGAAATAAGTTATGCTGAGAGTAATTTTTAACTATTTGTGACCGGGCTGTCATAGAAAGTTAGATACGTTCAAATTGGTACTGAATAGTTACATTGTATTTTTCCTTGTGAATGACATAGTGACAGCTTGTAGACAACTGGTAGAACATTTAACTTTTCTCTAAACTGCTGTACAAATTAGAGATAATTAACTAGTTATGATCTAATACGATCGCGAAGACAACTTTCCATTAAAATCCATGCCTTGCTAGTATGGAGAATTTTCGTTTTTAGCCTATTTTAGTGACGCAAGTTTCAAAAATAACAACCCTTTTGGATAATATTAGCATGTTATCCAACAAAAATTAGACTGCACTCAATGGGTATTACGAGATGCACGTTTATTTAACAGACACATTTTGTCCTCAACCTCATTTATATTTGTCCACAATGCCTGGTAACGAAGGTTTTGCAAATTACTTTCTATGAGAATGCAGTTTTACCTTGCTTCATGTAAAACATTAGACTGTGTCCTGTCATCATTTCGTCTTGGATATAATAGATGTAACCGAATCGAGGATTTAATTAATGTTGAAGGTGTTGCAAAAACATCAAATAACTAAAAATAATGGCATGCGCCAAAAGACTCGACGACACCGCAAAAAGAGCTTCAAGCTATTAGTGAGTTGCTAAAATAAACATTCTAGACATTTTCTGGGACGTTACACATCATACTCATTTCCTGACAAGTTGCCAAAATTGTGAAATGTTCGACTACTTTTGGCTTACGTGTGACGAGCATCTGGCAGATGTCTCTAGCTAGATAGATGGTCATTTTGGGCTTAAGTCATGAAATGACCATCTATCTAGCTAGAGACATATCTGTGAATATCTGTAAAAATCTATCAGTCGCCCTGGTAGAGGGTACATCTGGCGTATATATAACGAACTCGGTGTATCCATTGCAGCATATGATGTGTATATGTTGTGCACAACACTGTTTTCTTGCTGCGGATAGCTGTCTATGCAGTATGTATGCCTAGAAGTGTATGCCGCTCGCATGCCTGACGTACTAGTTACCGGCGAATACCGGGCGTTTTCACGATTTATTAAAAAAGGCGACTGTTTCCCGGTTTTTTAATTACCAGTACAGATTCCATAGCGAGAGCTTCAACCTTTCCGATCTGGATCTGTCATCTTCAGGCATAATGTGAACCCTTCAGCCACCATATGCACTGTGTGTATAATTTTCTAGTGTACTCTATGTACGTTTGTCATGAGTTACAAATATGAATTCTGGAGAAGAGTTTCTTTTGGTCTGCTTGCATATTAAGTGTTATGGAACAAAATAAAATATATCTTCTTTGAATTAAATAAAAAACAAGTACTTCTAGAATACGCTGCCTGATCGCAGGACGAACGTCACTGACCCATATAATACGTTTTCATTCGTTATAAGTGCAGGCGTTCATCGTGGGTTGCATCTGCGTAGCATACGTCTAGTAAACGCGAAAGAACAATTCGAGTTGCTTTACCAGCTAGGCCTAAAGACAAAATTAAGACTGTTTCATAGCTATTAAATTTCATGCAATATATGACTCATCAAAATGCATGTTTCTGAGTTTGAACCAGTATTTCAGCTCAAGTATTAAACTATCACTACAATAGCCTTTTTACTTCAATAATTCTAAGATTGAAAATTGAAAATTTAATATAGTAGAATAACATAATAATAATAATAACAATGAGAACAACAACAACAACAATAATAATAATAATAATATTCATTTATTCTAAGTCGAAAATCCTTTACAATAGACTTTACAATGTTAAAACAATAACATAATAAAGTATTAAGACAAAATATAAAACTGTAGTTAAGACATTAAATTAATGTTTACGTTTAAAATTACATCAATAGTTTTATACATAAAAGAGCATCAACCATAAAATTTCTTTAAAAGATACGTTTTTATATAATTTATATAATTTACCGAATGCGCGCTGTATCTTTTTATTAAGGAAATAGCATCAGACTAATAAGTGGTTCATTTCCGAACCATTTCCGATTTTTAGTTGACTGATCATGTAGTTTGCCGATATAAAATTAATTCGATGCTTAGAAGACAAAGAAGAGCAATTTTCAGCGCTTAAACTGGGAGTTGAAAAAAAACTTGTATCGTTCCCTCAAGCTACAGAAAGGAAGGTCAAAGGTTTTTCTTTTTTCTTTTTTTCATTTCTGGAGAAGATTACCTTTGTTGCTGGCTATTTCTCATAGATCGTTATGAAATAAGGCTGTTGTGGGCGTGCATTGAGTCTAGAAAAGGCAATTCACGATGGATTATACGCTTAAAACAGACATTAAAAATTTGACACCTCCATCAACTGACCATGGGCACGGTCAAAATGTGGAAGACTATGAGATCTATCGGCGGACTGAAGACATTCTATCGACAGTTTTCACGGTGTTTGCAACCATTCTGAACTCACTGTCACTAGCTGCAATGCGAAAGATTCCGGTTTACCACCAGCGACCCGTCATAATTCTCTTAACGAGCCTCGCAGTTTCTGATCTTATTCTTTCTCTTTTGTGTCTTGCTCTTCAATTTAAGAGTTTCGTTCTAACAGCCACGCACCACAAAGTCGCAAATAAGTTTGATCCACTGACGGCACTATCACCACAAGTTATGTTGGAGAAGGACGAAATGATTTCTTACTTGCTTAATATATCGTCCGTCGACGTGAATCAGGGCGTGATACGTGGGACCCCAGCTTGCCTAACGTTTGCTCTTCCTATGGTCGCTTTCATAAGTGCATTTTCAACGGCTTTTGTCGTACTCGCGTTGGCGGCCGATCTTTTTCTAGCTCTTCTTTTGCCGCTAAGGCACGGGATAATTATGAGAGAAACTAGGGTAAAATTACTGGTGTGCTTGATATGGAGCTTAGCTGCTGTAGTGGGTTCACTCCATTACTGGACCATACCAATTCAACAGCACGATTTTCCGAACGACTTTTGCGTCACGGTGCAGATGAACTTTTTTCACACGTACGTTGTATTTCCTGTTCTTCTCGGGATCATCATGACACTGACAATTTTAGTATATCTGGGGATTTTAATCTTTCTTGTAAAAAGTGGGAAAAATTCACCGGCGCTCTCAGCTTCACCCTCGCACGATTTTCGCAAACACGTAAAGATGGCTACCACCATTTTGATGTTGATGTTTTCTTTGATATGCTGTTGGGGGCCTTTCGTTGTAATCCCTTTCACAACTCTGCCACCTTTGTATCACAGGGTGACGTTTCTCTTGCTTCTTCTGGGAACTTGTTCCGATCCCATTATCTACGGAATCCGGATCCCTGCAGTACGCGAGGGTTATGGCCGCTTGTACTGTCGTTCTTCTCGTTTGCAAGATGTAAGGGAGGTGTAAAGTGATTTAATTTAATATATGTGTGTGGCATGCCTCGGACCGAGTATTATGAATATATATATATATATATATATATAATACTCGGTCCGAGGCATTATAAGCAGACTAGTTATGGAGAAAATGTACGAAGGCTTACCTTTGTATATTCTCATCATTCATTTCTTTACGCGGAACTAATTATCATCCATATTGTAATTCCTTAAATTTTTCTTTTTAAACATTCTTAACTATTCTCCGGTGTTTTTATTCTTTATACTACCACCGTATCAATCATTGTAAAAAGTACACTCATATTAAATGAAAGCGTGATAAATATGTATTGCACACACCCACAAATTTTACTGATTAAATTTAATGTGTGGACTCTGTGCACAAAGTTGTTTACATGGTCCACGAAATATATGTTCAGTTAGATGTGAAAGCAAAACTATAATGTCACTCAGGGCTCCGTAACTCGAAAGTGACCGAGCGCAAGCCTCTATTCCTTAACTCGGGATTTACTCGCCCCATATAATAGCCTCGAAATAAAAGGTGATATCGCTATTCGCGATGCTTTCGACTTACAGAGCCCAGACGGACAAATGTACTTTCATTTATTGTATCTGAGCGCACCAGAGCTCCGTATTTGGGCTCAGCCTTTTTACCACACGAATTTGTTATTACATTGCATTGTTGTAAAATTATTATGCTGTTCAAGAAAATTATTTGCTTTATATTTTATTTCCTGTGACTTGTGGGCCCACTGTGGTTTCATAATTCAATACTCGTGTTGTCACACTTCACCCCGTTACATTTTGTTGGCCTTTTCGTTACTATTGTTGGTTAATCTTAGCTGGCCTATATTCCTAAATAAAACATTTATTTATTTATTTATTTATTTATTTATTTATTTATTTATTTATTTATTCTAATGGTACAAGTACATTTTTCAATGACTATGACCTCATTATATATTCCATAACTATGGTACAAAAACTACATTTAATAACAATTAAAAATATGTTTATAATTTTTAGAATCACGAGTGACTGCATGGTGTCTAGCAGGCAGTCAAATTTCTTTCCTGTGAAGTATTTTGCAAGTGCTTTTACAGTTTCCTTGTCATTCGCATTCATTATGTTTTGGAACTCTCTGTTCAGTTGCTGGGGTAGAGTGCAGTATGTCTCTGGCAAGACAGATTTTTTAAAAATGTTGTTGTAATGTTGTTTGTTATCAATAATCAACACGTATACAGTGGCAAAGACATCTGAGGAGGGGCGTCCTGGATGTGATTATGGATTTAACTATCCTTTTGACATTTCTAATTTGCTTTCCAAGCAACAATAATTACTGTGTACATTTTATATGAAGGAACAGCAATTATAAGACTCTACGATTTCTGGGGTGGAACTGTCCTTGGGGTAATGATTTTATTTATTTATTTATTTCACATAAAGCCCGTAAAGCTCAATCTCAAATGTAAAGGGTCTTTGGGGGAAGGGGTTATTGTTGATTTATACCATAAGGTTTTCACTTCTATCCTGCACTGGACAAAATTCCGTAATATTTGTCCATGCCAGCTATGAAGAATGACCATACAGTGCAATGTACGTTCTTAAAGACGCTGAGTACACAGACTAAAAGACCCTTTAGAATTTCACAATGCGTTTTACGTTACCTGTGCTGTTTGGCAAAACATTCCACATACTCGCTGATGACAGCCGTGTGTTCTGTTCTACTACTTATAATAAAAATATCATTGTTACGTAATATGCTTTCAGAGGAATCGTAACTCAACCCACCCTGCAAAGTAAACGTAGCAGCCAATATAGACTACAACCAGTGCTATATACAATCTGATGTATGCGCTGTTCCGCTGCTCATATCGGTGGCGGATTTAGAAGAGTCCTGACCCCCCTCTTCGGTTTCTGAAAAAAAAAATCACACTAATATTCCCCCCTTGGAATTAGAATTTTGACTAGCTGATTTATAGTACTAAACCGAACTAAATGGCATCGTTCTAAAATAGGGGAGACCGGGGCTAGTTGGACCCCGGGGTAAGTTGGCCCCCCATCAATTTATGAAAAAGTAACTACGAGATAAAAAAGTTGGCCACATATTCTTGCAAAGTTACCGTAGCCTGCAATGCTAAGGAAGTGTCGGACGTTAAAAAGTTTTACTTAAGCGGTGAGTCGAAATAAACGATTTTTGCACCTAAAAGTAATTTTGTTTAAGGCTCTATTCCCATAGATTTTTAGATCGATCTATCCCCGCGGGGAGTCTCACTAGATTACTTTCAGATAATCCGACTTAAATGTCCGTCCCGCCTACTACAAGCTGTAAGGGGATAATTAACTTTCGTGTC